TGTTATGCCCTCACATTATATAACATGGTCTGTATGAACAATTGTGTTGGTTTAACAATTCAAGCCAGGTCTTAAGCCACCTCCCAAGAAAGTGCAAGTTAAGGCAGCTTAAGTTTAACCAGTGGCATTCAGAAACAGACTGGAAGCACATTGATAATTAGGTTGCCTTAGTATTCTTTTAGTCGTCTGAACGCACTATTAGTCACAATTCCTGTTAATATGAAGTTGGCACAATTCCTGTTAATATGTGCCTGAGGACGACGGGGGAACACGTCGAAACGTTGCATAAAACTTTAACCAGTGATTGTTGTTCCATAAAGCTATGTCTATATATCGTACTCACAATTGCTAAATGCCATTTAAAGACTTTAGTATTCTTTTAGTCGTCTGAACGCACTATTAGTCACAATTCCTGTTAATATGAAGTTGGCACGTTCTACCAATTTAAAATTAGAGAGTACAATTAGCGGGTACCAGCTGGTAGAAAGATGGTGAAATATCCCAGATGGAGGAATTGGTATTTCTCAATTACTTAAAGAATGCCTAGTTTCATGTAGAATTAGTTCCACTGTTATTATTAGTTGATGGGAGTGTCTCAGGCTAAACACACAAACAGGAATGCTGAAAAATCTTTAAAACAAACTAGCAAAAAAGTTTCTACACCATTTTATGTGTAGTAAGTACATTTACAACTCTAGGTTGCATCTAATCCCAGGTCTGTGATTCCAAATAGCAAAGAGTTTTCTCCATTGTATTTGCTAGTGACAGCTTCTATCTGCACATTTCTGATTCTCAATGTTTGTGGTTCCTGTACTTCCAGAAAATCTAGATAGTTGGTTAATCATTATTTACTTACCGGTATGTGTTTTTAAACGTAGTATGTAATAAACCTAGAAGTAGCATATCTATATATCTTGTGTTATTTAAATCTAGATATCACTGTACTTGGTACACATTATGTTAGAAAACAGTATTTAACTCTCCTTTTAAATGAAGTTAAAGGATGACTTCAAAATTACTTATTAATTTTAAATTAAAACGAATAATTCTAAGGGACATTGTATATTTTGTAATTTTTATTTACTGGACTGTCTAGAAGTGTAGAGATACTTAACTCAGTGAGACAATTCAGTAGACTGGGATGATAACTTTTAAAGCTTTCTTTTCTTATATTAAACATTATATTATATTCTGGGGCCAATATGTAGTAATATAATATATACGTACAATATACAGGAAATGTGTATGTTTTGTGAGGAAACTTTATACACAGATTGTAATCTTAGATATCCTCTAATAGATGTTGATCTTCTCTATAATTCTCCATGAAGATTGTAAGATTTATAATTCACCACGAGGCTGTCTTGTTTAATTGACGGGTTTCTTCTAAAATTGTATTTCAGGAGGTTGCCTGGTGATATTTAACACCTTTATACTACAAACAGAATGTAATTTTGAAAAATGCAACCATTTTGAGATCTTTTCCAATTCTGACCAATACCCCGAGTTGGTGATCATAGTACATCTTAGTACAGTAATCAGACACCAGAACGACTTGATAAATTAGTGTAAAGAAGGTGTGAGACCGCCATCTTTTCCCGAACAATTCTGTCATAATTCAGTGCTAAAAACCTCTGTACGACCCTCTTTTGAATTTCAAGGTGGAGGTGATTTTTACCTCACAAGAACTAAATGCCAAATTAATCGAATTATTGCTTTCTCATTGTTTAAGTTATTGGTTGCCTTTAGCTGAAGAAGGATATGAACTCGAGTGCCAAATTTCCTTATCTGGAGAAGATTTGAATCCACATGGCTGAAATGTCCTCTTTATAATTCTAGGGCAAGATGATTGGAATTCACGGGAATAATTCTAATAGTTGCTTTTGATTGTTTCAGTTCTTCGTGATTTCAGCCAAAGAAGGCATTGGATTTACAGCGCTAAATTTCCTAATCAATTCAGCCCATCTAAAAGTATCCTATTTATACTTTCAGGTAAAGGAAGGAAAGAATGGTAAATTACCAGAATGGTTGCTGTACGATTCCAATAGACGAAGGCTAGTCGGTGTTCCAACACAGGCAGACCTGGGCGAGATTTACATCTCAGTTAAAACTCTGTGTCTGCCCAATTCACCATGTTTTAAAGATGTTTTTCTGCTCACCGTGTTCAAAAGTAATTACGGATTCCAAAATAGCGATCCTCAATCGATGGTATTCTCTTCAAAATCAGCACCAAACAATGAAGTACATGGGTGCGAAAATGAGGTTGTGATAACCAACATTGTTTTTTGTGTTTCTCCAGATAAACTTGATTCTTCATCAAGACTGAAATTGATTCGCGATATGTCCCAGTTTTTATCTTTGCCAGAGACAAGTGTGATGCTTTTACCATCAAGTGGTCAGAAGCTTCGTGCTCTGGAAGATGGTTTCCAGATCGTGTCAGCAGGTCCTGGTAATGCAGGATTCTGTGAAGAAGACAGTAATATGGAATTATCCTGGGAGATCTCCTGCTCGACTCTCAAACATCTAGCAGACTTCGTGTCCATATTACAACACAATATCGAAGTAGGAAGAGTTCAGAAGGAATCGGGAGTGGGGGTGGTTGGATGGTACATCGCTTCATCGAACTCTGTCATCACTTCAGCGCATAAACGAAGAAGGCGAAGAGCTGGTCGCACACCTATCGCAACTCCAGTGGTATCGCCCGTGACTCCCACAAAAGATATAGGTTCGTCAACAATTCTTCCCACAACTAGTTTCAAACCAGAACCAAAGTACACTGGTTACATCCCAGGTCTGCCAACCATCCAAATAGCCATAAGATCTTCCCATTCATCTTACGCAAGCACCAGAACATATGGTATTGTCCAACCCACAAAATCCACCCCTTCCATGACTCAATCATCCACTGTGACCGCAAGCAGCAGAACATCTGCAGTTAGTTCTCAGGAACCGTATACTCCATCACCATCTGGAACATTCAGACCATCACAAACAACTCATCAACCATCATCCACTGCTTATCCTGGATCTTCTGTAGGTTATCCATACACAACATCTTCAGTAGAAGCATCGCCATCTTCCAGGACATCTTACGTGGAATCTGGAATGATAGAATCGTCTTCCCAGCCCGAAGCTTCTTATGAAATTCTTCAGACTCTTACCAGCACTCCAAGTCTCTATTCAACCACTGAACACATCACGACTCGACCAACGTCCCAAACTGATTCATCAACACCACCAGAAACGTCCGGAAGATCATCATACGAATGGACCAGAGAAGGTACTAAAGCTGTACTCAGCTCAAAGGATGTAACAAGGTCTCGTGAAAGGTCCACAATTGCAACCACATCTTCATTATCGTCAATAGTCGATGGTTCCACGGGATCGTCAGTTTACGAAGGTTCCGCAACTGACGCCGTTGATGCTTCAGAAGGATCAGCTTCAGGAGACAAGATGGATGAAGGTTCGGCTTCGGGTTCAGGGAGTGAAGCCATCGATTCCGACGACGAAGATGGCCTCGGCAGTAGCTTGGATGTTCCCAGCAGCACTTTCACACCAACCTTCAGCAGTTCCATAATGTACATTCCCCAACCGGAAGAGAGTGGAATAGTCTTTGAGCACCCCACGGATATTTACCCTGTATCAGATATCACAGAATCTTCATTGGTATTTACGGGAATTTCACCTCATGAAACAACCGATGTCATGTCTACGAGAATTCCAAGCATTCGACCACTTTACCCAGAAGAAGAAATGGGTGAGGAGACCACAGCCCCGCCTGACACATCCACAAAAGATTCCGGAAATTGGGAAACGATTGTGGACGAAAATTCATCAACGTATTCAGGTCATGGCAGCATTGATGATCATACTGAAAGAGTTGTAAACACTGGTGTCATCTCAGAGCATACGACATCCAATTCATCCCAGAATGTCATCATAGAAGAGCTTGAGACCACACCTTCCACAGACAAGGCGTGGTCAACTACGATGCGCATTGATAACGTTAACTCGACCACTTCCGGAAGTCCACCATCTTCAACTGAGAGACTCTGGGTCCCTGGAGGAATTGAAGATAAATTCCGGCCAACTGAAAAATCAGAAATGTTAACCACATCCAGAGCATCTCCTGCAACGCCACAGAAAACAACATCTCCAGATGGACAGAAACCATATCAGCAACCAGATGTGTCAACAGCGTCTACTACGACTCGACAACCAGACTGGCCTTCAAAGGTAACAACCGACATTCCAAGAGGTCTGACGAATTGGGGAACTGCTACTCAGGGTATTTTCTCGAAGTATTTTACGACTATCACTACTAAGCGTACCACTAAATGGTGGGAAAGTATCGCAGAAGTAACAACTCCGACAGTCTTCGTGTCCACTGAACCAGCTGTTGAGAAGTCCACCGAGTTCAGCTTCGTGACTCAGAGACCAAATACCAAGGAGAAGAATCGAAAGAAAGACATAAAGGATAAGAAGAAGAAGAAGGATAAGAAGAAAAAGGACAAGAAGAAGAAACACAGGAAAAACAAGACTACTATTGGTTATTGGGATTGGCAGACGACATTTACTGTGAAACCTACCAGTCCGTCTGCTACAAAATGGCCGTCATTACCCGGACGTAAGTTGAACGTTATTATTTTTGTTTTCCCCTTTTCAGTATTTGTGTCTCTCGGGGAGAGGAGAGGGGGTCTTACCTTGGTTTGTTGAATATATGAAGTGGCTGTAGTTGAATTTAGTCCATAGGGAGTTTTTTGGTTATAAATATGTTTAAATTTAGTTACCAGATAGCAAGTTAGGAACATTCTGTTATGAACAAATTTGGGACAAATTTAATTTTGGTTAGGATCTCCTCAGTGAAGATCGTTTCTTTCTTTTTTTGCTAAAGATCTCCGCCAGTTTAAATATTAATTTTATCAGCTGGTAGGGCACAATTTTAGCTATTTCCACCACTTTTCATAATAGCCTATATAACTGAATATGTTTTCTTTTCAGAGTCCAACCAGAAACCATATTTGGAGAATTCTATCGACTATATAGACGCAACACTCGGGGAATATTTTGAATATCCAATCCCACGAAACGTGTTCTACGATATCGAGGACGGAGACACTCGTAGTTTGGAACTTTCACTGTCTTTACCTTACGATCAGCCTCTACCTCCGACGTTTTGGTTACAGTTAGACTCTAGAAAACAGGTGATACGAGGACTCCCTCTGGCGGTAGATTTAGATACGGGCTATCAGAACGTGAATTTGATTGCTAGGGACAGTGGTGGACTGACGGAAACCGATTCCATCAAAATTAACGTCAACTCTTCCTTATTTGGTAAATTTACTCACAAATTTATCATGCGTTTCGGCGTCGATTTTGCTACGTTTATGAATGATCGGACAAATTTGAACAATCTCTTGCGTTTGATCGCCGGTTATTTTGGAGACAGTAACGTTAATGATATAACCGTAATGGACGTTTCCGTTGGTTCCTTGCTTCTGACTTGGTCAAATAACTCGCTTAGTGGAGACGAATGTAAGAACAATACAATAGCTCAACTGTATGATAGCATGGTCCGACGAGACGGATCAATACGTACAGCGTTGACGCGACATTTTGGAAAGAAATTACCTATTCAAGAATTGGAGTATCAGCCGTATGGTGCGTGTAATGGTATGACTACAACTGTTCCGACCACGACCTTTAGAGCGGAAACGGCTGAAGATACGGGATTAAGTATTTGGGCGCAGGTCGTGCTACCGGTCATGGTTTCGCTGTTAATCATTCTGCTCATCGTTCTTCTCATCTTGCTGATCAACAGACGTAGAAAGAAGAAGCAGGAGCCGACGACATGGGATAAACCAGTCTTCAACAACGATCGCAACCCCATCATTTTCCCTGAAGAGCTGGAACGCGAGGAATCGAAACCCAAAAAGGCCGGAACGTTGAACTCAGATGGATCATTGTCGTCTGGTGCGTCGCGAAATTCCCGCCCTTTTTATTACTTCGAGGATGATCCCGAATCAAATGACAGTACATTGAATTCCGAGAGAAGTCGGACTGGGTCGAATAAAAGACCGCCAAAAGCACCACCGCCATATTGGCAGCCTCATTCTGAACCCCCGCCTTATCGTCTGCCACCACCTTACGCACCTCAACAAACCAACGTTTAGACGAAAATTGTATTTAACTTTATGAAAGAAAACAACAGGTGTTCCAAAATCGCTGAGCACATATTTCGCGTCGGATTTAAATCGGACAGTATTGGACAGTTGTCACGGATCGTTTAAGATTACGACAAGCTTGCTAACTCTTGTCTCTTAAAATTCTGAACAGTGTGCGTCTAATAACTCTAAAATTATTCATGCCTGTCAGCAAGACTACTAAATAGTTGGGAGGTAATGTTAGTATATTCAATGACCTGTATAGTCAAGGGGAGATAATGTATGTATATTTTAATATCGGTCTGAAGCTAGCAGGTCTGAAACTTTGATACGGACGGTGCTAAATTAATATATATCTATATGGAACAGAAAAAAAGTCGAACGCGTTCAGTATGATGATGCCAAAAATATTGTTTAATTATTTGTCAAGGACGCACTTATTTCTATCTTGGACCGAGCATTTTTGTCGGAAGTATTCGTAAGTTTAAGATAATCATTAGAAACGTTTAATTTCATCGGTTGCCATCAGGCTACGTTTACTACAAATAATGTTTCCTAAAATTATTCAAATTCAAATAACAAAGTAACTTTTTTAATCGAGTGAAGTATTTTTTTTTTCATCTCATTGACATAATGAAGACCCACCACTTGAGTCACCGTGTATGAGGTAAGGGAAGTAAATCATATAAGAATTAACATCGGTCTGAAGTCACTATAATATAATACCGTTGGTGCCAAATATTCTATATTATTTTATGTATATTATAATTGTGTTTTGATTTGTATATATTCATTGTAAGATTTTGTTGTTGTTTTTTTGTGAATATCTAGAGATACTTCCTCTCAGGATGAACAAAATATTGATGTTTTAAAACATAGTTAAAATTAGTCTTTGTTCATCAGTGGACTTACCTGGTGTTAAAACTATACAACAGAATCCCTCTATAATCTAATAAATACATAAAACTAAGTAATAATTCATGAGTAATTTTAAAACATGCTTAGAAGCGTGTTTCAATAATTATTTAGTTTAATGGATATATCGTGTTATATAGAGATTCTTTTCTTTAGTCATGGCACCTGGTAAATCCAACTGATTTCCACTTGTTGACCAAGTTTGAGACTTTAAATTTTATGTTGATTCTAAGAGGTAGTGTTCCTTTAAAGTTATGATGATTCTGGACCGAGCTTATCCATTAAGTAAAGATTGATGAATCAAATAGCCGTATTGACAATCCAATTAAGATAAGATGAAACTAATATCGTTCGTCTCAATTGTAATCTAACAAGTTTTCAACCACAGTCCTGTTCTAATGACGTTATTTTTAACCAGTCAAAGCATGTCATGTAGGACAAATTCGAAAAAAAAGAAACGCCTACTCTCTCAGCCTTCAGAGTATGACCTGGTTTAGTAGAACATATTTAATATTTGTATGATTTAAGTCTGTTTTTTATCAATGTCTATTAAAATTAAAGAAGATTTAACCAAAAATATTTGATTTAACAGAAAATTCATAATTTGAATTTTACTCCCATGTGCCAAATATTTTATGACCAAAGACATTTAAATTTTACATTTTAATGAAATATTTTTACAATGTACCATCTTCACCATTTTATAATATTTTGCACAAAAATTTGAAAAAAGAAAAAAATCTTTTGTACTAAAAATGAAAAGGGGAAATTTTATGTTTAGAAGTGTTACAGGGAGAGGATGGACTGATCAAATATTATAGAACAACAATTCAACAAATCAGTGTTTCAAATGAACAAAACCTGCCCGTGTTGCAGGTTGTTATCGGGAGGAGGGGTGTCAATTTTTTTTATGCGTTATGTATTTTTGAATGGCCGCCAAATAAAAACAGCCCTATTTTAGCACGTCTTGTTTAATTATGTTATTTTACTATAATATTGTATATTTGTATATCTGTTGTATTTTAATGTTATTGTATATTTTTTACGAATTCACCAATACATTATAGGTGTATTATATACCTCGTTTTTTTACGAGTTAACATATATAACCAGAAGAATCCGTTAAGAGAACTTCTTTTGATATGTTAATGAGTAAGACACGTGGTATACAAGACTTGTAACATGAATAAATTGATTGACAGATTGAACTGCATCACGTTACCGTTTTATGCAAGCTCATGCAAGCTCATGCAAGTCTTAAGCTTTGTTAAAACGGGGCGGAGCTTCAGACGTGCTGGTTGTAGCACATTTAAGCTCCACCTACTTTCCTCTTATATTCTATTTGCCTTTCATGTTATGTTATCCAAGTATGGTACAACAATAAATTGCTGATTATAGACGACCATGGTTTTCCTCAAAAACATCAAAGAAAAAAAGCAATTTATAGTTACATTTACACCCGATACACCTATATATATATAGTAAAGATACACAGATACTATACTTCTGGGTCTTATTCAAAACATAAACGCAATCTAATATATCCGAGTTTTCGCAACACATACGTACACTATTAATGAGGTCAATTAAAACTGATTTTTTTTTACATCTGATAAATAAATTCTTCAAATGTTTTTCACAAAAAAACATCATATTATTTGATTGTTAAGAAAGTTTTTTTATTCTTTTTTTTTTTATCTGAAACGACATCTACTGATCTACATAATACTGATAACATTTTTAACATAACTTATATTCAAAGTAGTCTTAATCCGATTATATGTATATATTTCATCAAAGATGTCTGATAACTTTCCCAAATGTATTGTAATTATATAATGCGCCTCCACAGTGATTTCATTGTGGATCAGATTGTCTGCGAATGAAAAAGCATACTGAAAGTATTTTATTTATTTTATCTTGATTTATATTTTGAATGATATTAAGTGACTTTGTTAGGATTAGGTAGGAATGGCCATTTGTTTTTTAAAGCCCATTTTTGTACCGTCGCAGTGCGAATAGCCACGGCCATGAGAAATGTTCCTTACTATTAACTAGCAAACTTCAATGCTTTAAAGAGATTGTAAAGGGGTGTTCTAAATTTGTTATATGTATGGACGACACTGATAACATCAATTTGCACCATTCCAATTTCCAATCAGACATCTGTGGTTCCTGCAATTCCACTATAACTAAGTGTTTTATGACCTAATTTTTATTACATAGTCCCTTCGCGATTAGTAATGTCACCAAACACTTAGTTTTAATGGAATTGCAGGAACTACAGATGTCTGATTGAAAATTAGATTGGTGCAATTAGATGCTATCAGTGTCCCTGATACACAGAAATATTTTAGGAAACCTCTTTACAATCTCTTTAAATCAATAGAAATTATTGTTTAAAAAGTTGGAAACAAAGTCGACCATCTATTAACTCAAACTGATAAAAAAAAAACGTAAAATGTTTGAATGTTATTTTTCTATGGATGTTTTTTGATAATTCTCGTTTTTCACCATAAATAATATCTATAATACACAATACATAATAATATAATACATAATGGACATACGTATTGTCTTTCTCCAGTACCGGGGTGCCTTGATGAAAATGAAATGGAGTTCTACGATCTACTTTTCTGTACCTCTTTTGGCTAATGAAGACGGACAACGCCATGCAATATACAATTGGGGAAATTTTAACAAGTGATTACCCTACACCTTTTTATATTGCCGTCACCCATGTCCGTCCGTCCGTCTGTCCACATTTGCTCGCAAACACTCTTCAAGACACGATTCTTGACGGATTTTGACAAAACTTGGTATGAGTGTTCGTAATCACACAAGGATGAACACTATTGAAAATCAGAAGAATCGAAAAATGATTAGTATGAGTTATTGCCCTTGCTATTGAAAACGCGTTCAATTTTAGCTTGTAAACACTCTAGAAGGCACAATTCTTGACAGATTTTGACGAAACTTGGTGTGAGTGCTTGTAATCACCAAGGATAAACCCTATCGAAAATCAGAAAAATTGAAAAATATTTAGTATGAGTTATTTCCCTTGTTCATGAAAACTGTTTCAATTTTTAGCCTGTAAACAGTCTAGAAGGCCCAATTCTTTTGATTTTGATAATATTATTCAG